CTATATAATGTAAGGTATGCACTGACTCAAATTTATCAATGCATTCTTTACATTATGAAGCCTAATCTGATGCATTTTTGCTGAGATTTTAGAAGAGGATGAAATAATGCTCTTTTTTATTAGCCTAACGTTGGTTTACCACAATGTTTCATCGTCACTTTAACCACATAAATTAAATAATCAACTTTTTTTCTCTTTCTCTAATTTTTCTCACTTGTTACAGTTTGTCCCTTCCATTGACCAAAATGTAATACGAGCAAATAATTAGCATAAATGTCATGAATTAGAAATAACTTAATCTTACACGCAATTTGATGCATGTATTTTGAGTGCAGCAATAAAAATTCAATTGATAAATTGATCCATTGTTACATATCTACTTACCTACATATCAACCACAACCTTATCCAATGCTCTTAAAAAAGGACATCAACACATTTTTGCAAAAAAAATGTTTTCTCGCTTTCAAGTTTTTTTTATACACATTTACATAATTCAGACATTTTGTGCACATGTACGCACAGTATATATTTCTCGCTGCATGGTTCTCAGTGAAATAACATGCACGAAATTATGCACAGCTAGCGTAGATTTTCTTTAACCCATCATCAACTTTCCATCAGAATGAACATTCTCGGGAAATATGCTCACAGTGAAGGCGCAAAAATGTATTCAAGCCTAATTATAACTTGAATCCATAAACATCTCTAACCCTTAGCAGCAAAGTAAACGCTTAGTCACCACGACAGGAAACGATATAAGCAACAGGGATGACTTCTACACCACCGCAGTCTTCATACGATTGCTTTTCTAACCTTCCGCGTTTAATCTTTGGCTGTGCACAGGAGTGGGTGTGGGAGCAGGAGGTCAGGCCCTGCTGCCGATGCGTTGGTCCGCCAGACAAATTAAAAGCAGTGATCATTGCAAGAAAATTGCTTGGCCCTGCAACTTGCTGTCAGCCAACTGGCTCGCGTAATTCCTTCTCATCCAACGGGTCACACAAAATAATGGTGACTTGGAAAGGGAAAGTCATTTGTTTGCACCAAACATCCTGTCAGAATGTCAATGGCATGTCTAAAGGTGAGTTTGCATTACACACATGTTCCTCCAGTAGTCAGAGGAAGTGTTGCTAAGGCTACAAAACGTCTTGGTTTGGCCAGACAGTCTGTCCCGGTGTCCTGAAGCTTCTATCAAAACCGGAATCTTGTCCCATGACAACATTTTTGGCCACACACTCGGTTCATGATATGGACATAGGGCAGTGGCTGCCTGAGCAGTAAGCGTAAGCTGCAGAGGACAGGGTCTATGAGCAGTAAGCTGGGCCAATGTCAGAAGAGTGGCTACTCACTTTGTGTGCAGGGCTAGTGAGAGAGCGGTGCATAGTTTTGTAAACGTGAACAGGGCTCACAGAGAGAGAGGAACTGCCAGCTCACCATAAACATGTTCCAGTTAAGACGCCCAGAAATAACGTGGAGTGACTGCTGTGCAACCCTGTTGCAATCTAATGAGATACCGTAGTTAATTAATAGATATTGTGATGCACAATAAGCACCTAGCCCCCAGTTATTATTTAATTTAATGAATACACCTGAGAGGTATTTGTAAAGTGTGCCTTCATTAATGTGCATATAGTTGTTCACGTGATAATGTAAGTAATAATAACATCATTGTTCATTAATTATTAAAGATGATTACAATATGCATCAAGAATAACGACGGGGATGGCAGCCAAGCGGACATTCACCAGAGACCTGGAGGAACAGAATCAGCTCGTGTGCAGGCGCTAGATGGATTGCTACATCACAGGACCGCGGGAGATGGCGATGGCTTTAGGAGGCCTTCATCCATTGAAGGATTATGAACGACTGTAATTTATTTTAGTTTTAATCATTCGAAATACGTTACCGCTCTCCAATATGCAAAGTGAAGAACTCAGCAGTACAACCGTCTAAATCAACTGTGCACAATGGCAGTGGTTATGAAACGCCACCGCTTTTAACGAGGATTTACAGATGATTGTTGAACGGGAGTTGCATGTCGACGTTGGAGTCAAGTTGCTGTAATAGGAAGTCAGCCCCCTTACAAAGACTCTTGAGCCCAACTTTACAGCGCTGCTATTCCAGAACTAGACACCCGGTTCATCGATTGCATCCTTGATGCCGCGAAAAGTTCAATTTAAGCCGAGGATTTTGAATTTAGTGCAAAATGGGGTCAGCTTTCACCAGGGTTAAAAATAAAAGTGCATAGATTAGAAAGGATTATATTTATGGAGGTAACCTAAAACTCAGCTTTATAATTTTATGTCTTAGCTATGCGGCTCGTGTGGAACATGCATAAACAATACATTTGCTAATTAAAATGAAAACGTTTGAATTGCACGGACAAACGTATTAGAGTATGGACGAATCACGGTTTAACGAATCCCTAATTTATTGCGAGACGTTCAAACGTGCGGTTGGGAACGTTGAGATTGATACTGTGTACGTTCGGGTCATTCCACCAATCGGGTAGAAACCTCTGCAGAACAGGCAGCTAACCCCACAGCAACAGCAGCAGCCTGTGTCTTAATGAGTAAAACAGGCTCGGAAGGCGCTGCAATCGATACTGCGGCCACTTGTACAACCACCATCGAGTGGTGTTCCCCTGAAAGGATCATCCACACTCCCTCAAGCATTTCAATACACTCAACAGATAAAGGTAAAGCAGATTTTAACACACGTTTGGCTGTTATTATACACAACTGTAGTGACATCGCGGGATGTCACTGTGCAGTGCCGGCCCGAGAGAGGCACAGCGTGCAGTGGAACGACATCACGGATACCACAATGGTGTGGGTGTAGTACCGGCCATAGAGGGGCCCGGTGAGTGCTGATGGATAGCGCTGGATGGCACCACGCTTGGCGTGCAGTGCCAACCCTACAGGACAGGGTGTGGGAGTGCCGACCGTAGGAATGAAGTTACTCAAGGCCATGGCACTCTGGTTGACCCGAGAAGACACGTGACCAGTTAAGTCTACAAAGGGGCCCCAAGTGGGGGCTAGGGGTGGTCACATGGTTAGCATCGAGATCATTCCTGAGGATTCTGGAAGGTGGTCGTGGCCAAGGGCGGAGCCAGCCACACCTCAGAGAATATAAGCAGGGTCCCCAGCGGGACTGGCGTTGTTGTTCATCCTGAAGAAACCTTCGTCAACATTCTACGTTCTACGTTCAACGAGTCTCCAACACGTGGACCTGAGCTGTGGTCCTGGTCCGTCGTAGCTAGTCACGGTGTAATTAGTGTAGTTAGCCTGGTCGTCACCACCATAGGTTGTTATTCTGTTAAGAGGTAGTTACCCCGTGTGTTGGAGTTAAATAAATGTATTGCCTCCAAGTCTACGTCTGCGACTCAGTCGAATTCAATACACAACGATTACACTTCGTTTTACATTTTAAAAAATCTAAATGCAATTCATATTAAGTCAACAGGGGAAGTGCCCACCAAAAAATGTTCGGAATGCAAGAATGTGACCTGAAATATGAGGGTCTTTATCTTTACGTGAACAATGGATTCAGCGGTAAATAAAAAAGCAGTATATCGCATGAAATGCAAAGCCATTGACCTGTAGGTCTCTAAGTCAACATGTTTGCTCATTCAGAATACAGTTAATCCAGTTTTTTGGTTGCTGTCCACTACAAGCCCGCAATTATGCCATTCATTTTAAATAACAATACGCATCCCATGTGCAGTAATAGATGCTCGCTGTGGTATGAACAGTTTATTACCCTTTAGCGATTATTATCCTGTTTTATATCATTATAATTTAAGTATACATTATTCATACATTCATAGTCGTGTGGCCAATATAATATTCTATCTTTCTCATCAAACAAAGAGTTCTTGCGGCTATTTTGGACTTCCGAGGCAATGAAAGTATAATAGAGACATTGAAATAAAGTAGAACAACATACTTTAAGTAAAATATACAACACTTGAAAGGATACAATTAAATTCAACATTATTTCAAAAAATTATAATTTACAGTCCTTTGTCAATCTACTGCTGGATTAAGGTGTCCCTATGCTACCCGAGTAACGGGGGTTGTTTGATCATACTTCATCACACTGGTCAGTGCAGGTTGGTGAAGGGGCTCCCAGAACTGGTATAGATATCGCCCACAACAAGTGATGTTAGCCGTGGCTGAGAATCAATTTCAGGGCATCAGTTTCACGACTCACCGTGGATCCCAAATTCCACAATGACACTTAACTATCCTGAACTCATATGTATGCTATATTATGTTATAAACCGCTAAACATTTGCTTAAACAAAATCATCAATATTTAAAAGCACAACCGTATGACATCATGCCATTGCTGAAGATGCGGTTAAAAATTATGCTTAAACTTCAGATAGACTTCGCACAAGCGGTGCAGGCACAGGGGCTGAAGGGCTGCCCTTTGTTCCCCGGCGTGTTCACTGTGTGCCTGGAATGTGCAATGAAAGAACCTCCGTACACGTTCACTGCCATTGTTAACATTAAAGGTCACCGTGTCACAATCTGAGACTTTTTGATGAATATGACCTTTTGACAAAATCACAAAGGGTGATGCGTGACCTTTGGGACAAAGTCAATATTGCAAGAAAAATAACTGGTTGAGAAATGAGTGTGTGGGGAGGTGAGAACAAGGTCAGCTCTAACCATCCTCACCCAGTGGGAATCAAAGTTCACCATTGATTACAAATCGATAAAAAGGGGTCAGAACAAGACTTTAAACAACTTACTCTTTGGTTCTTTCGGTAAAGTCACGTAGGTATAAGGTATATATGACTTTACCGAAAGAATCAAAGAGTATGGATCCCTGCAGTCACGAAAACTTCAAATCTAGATTTAAACAACTTGGTGGAGACATCAAACGGTACGGATAAAGGTTAAGATGAGGGCTATGGGACGGGATATGGGATGGGCTACGGTACGTCTTGTTGGCGAAGAGTAGTGTGGAGGCAGCTGAGAGAGAACGTACCTGTGCCAGGTTCCATCCCTGCAAGGCCTCTGCGATTGTAGATGTCACACTGGGGCAAACGCCACCAAAAATCATCCGGTACTTGGATTCGTTCTTGATGGCATCAAAAAAAGCCTTCATCCCTTTGGCATTGTCACACTGCAGACCAGAGATAGAGACACATGAGACCAGGATACACTCCCTATTACTCTGTGTGTTGGCACACGTGCATCATTAACTGCTTTGTGAACATGAACGTATATACCATGTGAAATAAACATGACATTATTTACACAGACTAAACCTCACTGTGCATAATATCAAATCAGAGGTGGTCTTTGCTGTACTAAATGTGTTGACTAAGCTACATGAGCAGGACTGGTGTTATTTTGTTTTATTAGTTAACCCCTCATCACATGATATGTCTTAGCAACAAAATATTTTGAAAATACCATCTCTTCTCTCTCACGACTATAAGATGTGCGCTAATTCCTTACGGTGCTTTGTAAAGATAAAGTAGGGATGTGTGCTCTGCGCGAATGCTCAATAGGGAGGACGGAACCTTGTCACAATTGCACAACGCGGCGTGGAACACAGCTTACACAGAAGGTTTCCCAGATAGGGCCTTCCATTGGAACCCAGGAAATGGTGTGGAGGGGAAGAAAGGCTTTTCCTGTTACATTTTATCCACCACTATAAGGCAACATGATATTCTCTACGATGTTTTCAGGCTGTACCGCTGCTGCTAGGTGTAATATCTGACATTTTGCGCCATGAGTGCTTCTTCTTCTTAATCATCATGATCAGTCACTGCTGAATTAAGGCCTTCTCATGCCATGTCGATGATAGACGTTTATTCGACCATGAGTCAGATATCGTTCACTTCCAATGCTAACCATGGTTGGCAATCAAACTCAGGTTGCTAGTTTCACAGTGGAGTGCACTAATCACTGGGTTACGATTCCCCCCCCCCCCCAAGACTGCTTCTTTATATACAACTAATAAGCTAAGGGCTTTAACTTTAAAAAAAAATCCATTCATCCCTTCGTTGTTGCATGATCCCACTATGAACAGGGAACCAGAAATAAAGACCAACTAATTTTCCTGGATGTAAATAACGGCTGTGTATGCAATCACCACTTTGATGCCATAAAGACGAAAATACCTTTGCCAATGTGCATCAGGTGACATTCCGTGCTAGAATTAGGATAAAAGAATAGCACTAACCCGCATGGCTCTACAGCAGCTTAGGCAGTTGAATTGCTCAAGGGAGCAGTCATAATGCAAGCAAAGACCATTTAAAGACTTCACCCAAAAAATTCTGTCTCATTACTGAGAATTTATACTCTTTGGTTCTTTCGGTAAAGTCACGTAGGTAGAACAGTAATAGATCATGACGTTTTGATCGCAACACAAGCAATCGTCATCAGGTGGGACAACCACAGCAAGAAAAAAACTCCTGAAGTAGGCGGGTTTTTTCTTGCCGTGGTTGTCCCAACTGATGACGATTGCTTGTGTTGCGATCGAAACGTCGTGATCTATTATTATTATTCAACCTACGTGACTTTATCGAAAAAACCAAAGAGTATGGATTCCTGCAGTCACGAAAGCTTCAAAACAATACTGAGAATTTATTTCGAAAATACGTTTTCTTTTCGAGAGTCACGAGTTAAAATCTAAAGTTAGGCCTATAATAATTTGTCTCCAGTTTGTAAAATGAAAAGAATTTGTCTTCAGAAACTTTTGATCTGTTGTGGCTTCAACAACCTGTGCGTGTTTTACTCGTTTTCATATTTAATGGCCAACCAGGTGCTTGTAAATATCGACATGTCCAATCTTTTTACAAGATCTCTGTCGTTGCTGGGAGGAAAGTGGAAGCCGAAAGAATATTAATTTGGCGTCATACAAACCTTCGTATTAAAGACAACCCTGCAGAGTGATCTTGTTTAGAGAGGAGGCATACATAAAAAAACAATACTCACTAGAAGCACGTTAGAAACAGTGTTAAGAAGACTTTAAACACTGAAAAGTGAGTAACATTACAATTTTCTTTAGTCTACCATCCACTAGCTCTAACTCCCTTAGGTATACGAGGACAAACTTTGGTAATGATCACTTTTTTGTAATATTTTATTTTTGCAATTATTGTACAGACATTTTTTTGTAATTGACTGAGAATGTAATTGTGGGACTCAACAATTCAATGCGGAAGGGAGGGGTGGGGGGTGTTTAGCCCCTTCTATCCCCCAAATTCTATAGGATTGCTTCATAACACTGTAACACGAAAAATGTTTCCTGGGTAGTAAGTGTTATTTCCTAATTGCGTATCCCTCAACAGTACAGAAAATGGCTATTATTCTACACATACTTTGCTTTTGTTACCAGGACATTGATATTTAAAAATTAACATATTTTCAATAAGAAAACGGGCGAATTTGTGTCTTTTCGTTCATATAAATTCAGAAAAAAACAAACATATGAATAAAAATTTACATGTATTTATACTAAAGTAATACAAAAATGACTACAAAGTATTTAGACACCAAGGCGCACTACCACAGTCAGGACTGGCCACAGCGGACCGAGTTCTCTGTGGGGAGGAACAACGTCAAGTGGGAGCCACTGGTGGACCCCCGGAAGGTGCTGATGCCACCACTGCACATCAAATTGGGCCTTATGAAACAATTTGTCAGAGCTGTAGATAAGGAGTCGGCAGCCTTCAAGTACCTTCAAGACTTATTCCTTAAGCTGTCTGAGGCAAATGTCAAAGCCAGTGTCTTCGTCTACCCACAGATAAAGAAGATCCTGGAATGCAATGAATTCCCCAAGAAGCTCACTAGTAAGGAGAAAGCGGCTTAGAACAGCTTTGTCGCAGTAGTTCGTGGCTTCCTGGACAATCACAAGGTCGACAACTATGTGGAGCTGGTTGAGACTGGTGACGAACCACAGCACGATGGGCTGTAGGATGTCCCTCAAAGTCCATATTTTTTCTGCTCATCTTGATAATTCAAGAACATGGGAGCGTACTCGGAGGAGCAAGAAGAGCACTTCCACCAGGATATACTGGACTTTGAACGCCACTACCAAGGACAGTATAACGAGAACATGATGGGAGACTGTATTTAGGGGCTGATTCGTGAAAGTGATTTAGAGTATAATCGTAAATATCGAAAAACTACTCACTTCTAAATCTTTGTAGTAATTTTTGTATTACTTTAGTATAAATACATGTAAATTTGTATTCACACGTTGTTTTTTCTGACTTTATGTGAACGAAAATACACAAATTCGCCAGTTTTCTCATTGAAATAGATCAATTCAAAATATCACTGTCCTGGTCACAAAAGCCAAGTTTGTGGGGAATAATAGCCATTTTCTATACTTTTTAGGCATAAGCAATTACGAAATAACACTTACTACCCAGGAACCTAAATTTTATTACATAGTGTAATTAGAAGTATCACTACCACGTGAAACCACAATTTCATGATATAAGCAACAGCAGCTTGCATCAGAAATGTCTTACATTTGTGAAGACTTTACATGCTATTATGGATTCAAATATCCGTGGTTATTTTCGTGATATATTTTCAATTGCCCATATTTTGCATTCAACTCTTTCTCACATACGTGAACAGCTCCAAATAATATTCCAAAGCAATGCATGCCAAACACACACGATGCCAATTTTAGTAAAGAAGCATTCATAAGCGCATGCCTAAGCATAGCAACAGCAAGGCAGAACATTTTAAAAGATTAAAACGTGTCCAACAGCTGATGCGCTTATTCTGGCAGTAACGGTTGACACAAGGTTCTCCATGGCATCCTTCCGTCAAGATCAGACGGTGGAAGTTACAGGGGTTTTTTTTCTTCCAATAATATGAATGACTTCACTTCGTTTGATTTGCACATCCTATAATGGCTGTAAAGGCCGATCCTGGAGGCTCCTGCATTTGTCGCACTTGTAGTCCACTGCGGATGACTCATTGCCGGCTCCCTGCTTCCCTCGTTCGTGATTATTTCGGACCTTCTGAAGTAATTTAAGGGCACGGTTTCATGAGCCAATCCTAGAGAGTCCATCACGCCTGTCTTACCTTTCCCTTGCCATAGCTTTATCACGTGTTGGTATTGATGTCCATGTCAAAGGTGCTTGCAGACATCTTTAAGCTTGAATTTTAGGGGACCTGTATGTCTTTTGGAATGTGCTACCTCACCATAGAGCATTATCTAGGTATGCATCCATTGTGCATTCTGTGCACATGTCCAAGGCAATATAGAAGGGCCAGTATGCTGGGCAAGGGCATCTGCGTTGGTGATCTTGTCTTGCCAAATAATACTAGGATGTGATGCAGACAGCAGAGATGGAAGCTGCTGAGCATATTCTCTTGGTGGCTGTAGGTGATCCATGTCTCGCTACCATACAGCAGAGTGCAAAGGACACAGGCTTGGTAAATCAGCACTTGTGTCTGAATAGCTTGGTAATTGTTCCACAAATGCTTCATGAGTCTGCTAAAAGGGGTTGTTGCCTTGCCCAATGCGAACATTTAATTCCTCTTCGAGCGACAGGTTATATCAGTCACCGTGAAGCTGAGGTAGCAGAACTTGTTGACTACCTCGAGGAGTGTTGTGGAGAATTATTACTGACTGTTGTGTGGTACCTTCACCCATGGCTACAGTTTTCATACTCAAGCTTTGATGATAATAACGTGCACATTATTCGCTCACTCTCAAAGAAAAATATATTACTGACAGACGCGAGAAACCACAGACAAGCGAGAAATCAGTCAGGCACTAAGCAAGTGGCAGCAATTGCCTAACCTCTGTGATCCTCTGTATGTAAAGATGTCTCCAGTCAATTAATACGTGTTATATGTGTTGGGGGGAAACTGGAACACCCAGAAAAAAACCCACACCTGTGATAGGGTAACATGATGTCTTACAGATTAAACGTGTTGGAGATTAGTGCACATTTTGCTGAACTGTCTAGTGCTGGTGATCCATGTTATCGCACCCCGATACCCAGAGGAAGGCAGTGTCATAAACACGTGTGATCCACCAACCCTTGCCTCCAAAGTGCTGGATTACAGGTGTGCAGCACCACCGATCAATACACATTTCAGTAATTGATGTGAGTTTGTATTATAATGCTGCAGAAACTA